ATGTGTGATTCATAAGGAACTAAAGATTAAGAGTCAGGTACGCTGATTCGTACTTATCATGTTTTCTTATAATAAACATAGGCTGTGTTCTGAAATCCCGATCAGCTTTTTCTCTGTCATTCTAACAACAAAGATACAAAAGCTGAACACTACGCCGCATACTTTGAAACATATTTTTTTTGTATCGAAAGCTTGTATTCTTTAGTACTTGGAAAATACTGCTAGAATCGTGTGATTAACATAAATTGATAACAATTCCTTATGAATTATTCCGTATGAACAAATGTGAAAAATTTTTGTAAGGTTTCATGCGAAACTTTTGGACATTTTTTCTCTTTCGGGAGAGTTGGATTCTATTAGCACTTTTCATGGCCCAGTGATTTTTTACATAATTATTTTCACAAAAAGAAATAAATTATCTGCGGAGTAGTGTTGAACTTTTAACTTTTTTGTAAAGGCATTTTTTTTTCTATTTATAGACGTCACGTGATGACGTCGTAGAGGAATTCTTTTTTTTAGCCTAAGACTCAATGACGTCGATAAAATGAATAATAACAGTAAATGTTTTATCTATGGCGTTTCCAATTTATCAATGTTACATTTTACGAAAAAAAATATAAATTCGCCAAAAAATTATCTAGGTATTGCCTCAATATACCTGCCCATGGTTTCCTATCCTTACATAATATCTCTATATAAGTGAATTATCTCGAATTGAAACACCATACATTCAACCAATCGGTTATTTTCACAGTGATCTGAGTCGGAAGTGCAGCCTGATCAGTATCTGTTATCTTCACACTTTAATAATAATCATAGATTTTAGGATGTTACTTCAATCAGTGGTTAGAGCGTCTGTTCTAGAGGCGCGGAGTAAGGAGTTGATCCTTACGTAGCAGGTTCGAATCCCACTGTGGGACGTGGAGACCGGTCCTTCGGATGAGACCGTATAAACCGAGGTCCCTTGTCGTAGTAGGTGCTGACACGAAAAAGATCCCTTACTGCTCAATGACCCTAAGTGCCGAGTATAGGTCAAAATTTGTAGCCATCCACCGGCAAGTGGTGGCGTCTCCATATGGCTGAAAAATTCTCGAGAGGGACGTTAAAACAATATACAATCAATCAATCACTTCATGTCTATACACTTTATAATGATTTAGGTACTGTTAGAAGGAAAAGTATCATTAATGATTGATGGTACATTGATTATTTCCCATATTCTACAGATTAAACTTTCATTAGCTTTGCCTCATTAAAATTCCTTTGTTGGTCTCAATAAAGTGGATAAAAGAGAGGTGGTTGTATATATGCTGTTTGCTTTCATAAATAATTAAGAAAAAGTGAATCATTACTGGATTAAGATACGTATGAACATGCTTAAATGATTTGTTTTTGTTCAATGCAGAATAAATAAACATTTTTAATGGTGTATTTTGTTTTAGTCAAGCTGTAATCAACATTATGAAGAATGTATTGTTTACTATTCATTGCCTTTAAACAAATACTTTTATATCCAGTCGCCCGCGTGGCGCAGTGGTTAGAGCGTCTGCTCTAGAGTCTCGAAGTAAGGAGTTGATCCTTACGTCGCGGGTTCGAATCCCACTGCGGGACGTGGAGACCGTTCCTTCGGATGAGACCGTATAAACCGAGGTCCCGTGTCGCAGTAGGTGCTGGCACGAAAAAGATCCCTCACTGCTCAATGGCCGTAAGTGCCGTCAGTATAGGACAAAATTTGCAGCTCTCCACCGGCAAGTGGTGGCGTCTCCATATGAGTGAAAAATTCTCGAGAGGGACGTTAAACAACATACAAACAAACAAACAAACTTTTATATCCATGCATAGATATTTAGATTAATAGAAATGTATTTTAAAACATGTTATATGTTACACGTATGCACTACCCATATCAAAAGTCTCTATTTCCAGCTTCAATGAGATGTTTTCTATCTACTATCACATTTTTAAACATTTCAATTTGACCCAGACCCCCTAGGACATACTCTTGTTATACGATCACAGTATGTCCCCTTCGAACAATGTCCTCACATTTTCTTACAATCTTTTCCGTTGCGATAAAAAAAAATACAGGCTGTTAATGAAAGATATAAAGAAACTTTAAGGAAAAGACAAGGATCCATGGAAACACCAGAGATTGGATAAGCTGCCATAGAGAATAAGCATCCCCTATAATGATATGAAACATATCGGACAAACTACGACCCAACCATAGGTTATATATACAAAAAAGGACATTTTAAACGACCCAAAATTTGCATTGTCCCTTTTGTAGTCTGTCAGCTTACATTTTATCCTTTTTCTATTTCTTTTTGAAATATTTCCGCGAGAAAAGTTATATTTCTAGATAATGGAAAACAGGTACTTTACGATGAAAAATAAACAAATAAGATTTGTTATTATCCAATTAAAGATACGGAACTTGTTTCCTTTATCTACTTTTCTCTGTCTTTTTTGCTTTTTTAAATTAATTTTTTTCTCAATTTAAAACAAAAATGTCAAACTTGTCCATGATTTTAATATATATATATATATATATATATTTTTAAAGTTCAGTTTTCTTACTGTATCATACTTTAAAGAAGTAAATGTTCTTGAATCTACGGGAAAAGAAAACTTTCCTATTTATTTATTATACCCCCGCTAAGAAAACAGGGTATATAGTGATGGGATGTTTATCCTTCAGTCGGGATGTCTGAATGTCCGCAACACTTGTGGTTACCCATCTTTTATCCACAACTCCTCCTACACCTTTAAAAAAATTAATGAGACTTACAGAATCTCTTTGACATAGTGCCATAATACACCTCCTATTTTACGTTTTAATCGAATAGATAGCTGGGGTTTACCATAGTAAAACATGGTCACTGTCTTTTTTTCTATAATATTGGGGGTACCCATCTTATGGAACTTCAACTCCTTCTATACCACATGATAAAATTTGTTCAAACTTTCACAGAATCTTTAAAACAGCAAAGTGCCATCGTGTGATTTCTATTATATGTTTTATCGGGCAAATATTTGGAGTTTCTCATAGCAAAATTTGGACATGGCCATTATACTCAAAAGAGAGTGCGTTTATTATTTTGTGAACTCGGTGCTCCCATTACCTCTAGTTTTTTTTTTTTTTTTTTTTTTTTTTTTTTTTTTTTTTTCTTTTTTTTTAGAATTTTACTTTTGTGCATGTATATATTGTATGGAAAATATATGTAGCTGAAAAAAAAGATTGTTGGCAATTCTTGTTCACGTGACGTCACAATCTAAATAGATTTTCCGTTCATTTGAATAAGGAAAGGACAAGATGGGCAATATTTGTCCTTTTGACTATAGAATTCACAGAGCACAAACCTGCTCCAGTGCAATATTCACGTATTTCATTTATTTTATAGTTTTACACATTATAGCAAAAGACTGAGTTGGAGTAGACCTGCGCTTTATGATTTTTAATTGGAATATTCTGGTAAAATACCCTTAAGTCTCTCAGAATCATTGAAATATAGACTGTGTGTCATCCTCTTGAAATATATCTAAGATGTGAAGTCATGGTTAATGAAAATATGTAATGATTTGGAGTCTGCATGTATTCCTCTGTGTAAGAATTTAAATTTTGTACAAAATTTTGTACATATTTTTAACATTTTCACAAAATCTTAAGTACTTCTCCCACTTTACTCAGAAAATATCATTTAGCCTACCTATTTGAATACTAATCCATGAGAAATGCTGCTGATTTCTGAAAAAAAATTGTTTTGTTATTTATCCTTTATTATGATAATTAAGATCCTTAATTTTACGATCAGGTTATTTTCATTGCCAAAATGAATTTCATACAGCTTAAAAGTAGAGTTATTTGTCATGAAAAACCCTAAATCAATTTGTTTCCTTACAACTTGCTCAAATGAGTCGTGCTTTCATCTATTTTACTATTTTGTAAGGCTGAGTAGTTCTTTACAGACCTTGTCAACAGCACATATTCGACTTTCTTAAAATTGTTTATTGATTTGCAAATATACAGACTATCTATTTTATTGGAATTGAAAGTCCATAAATACTCTGTGTGTGTGTGTGTGGGTGGGTGGGTGGGTGGGTGTGTGTGGGGGTGTGTGGGTGTGTGATCATTTGGATAGTACTTTCATTCTCAGACAACAGAATCTCTGGGAAAATATAACAAAATAAGTGTTAACTATTTTTATCTTGTAATGAATAACATAGCTCAATCGATTAGGAATTTATTGTAATTGCAAATACTGCTAATTACTGTGTTTTAATTGCATCGAATCTTCCATGCAACAAAGGCATATAACAACTTTCCTTTCTATCAGCCCCATGTTTTAAATCGTCGGTTTTGTTTTAATAATACATTATTTGCTGCTGATTTGCTTAGATCACCAAAATGTGAAAATGTTTTTTTTTTAAAGAAAGGTATTTGAAAACGTATTTTTCTCAAAAGGGTTAAACTTGATTAAAACATAATTAATTTAAAAAGGTAATCTTTTTCTTAGATCAACCAAATGTGAAAAAAATTAAGAGAAAAGGTATGTAAAACGTATTTTTTAATCTATTTTTTATTATTATATCAAAGAGTTAAACTTAATTAAGACATTAATGTGTAAAGGGGCATTCTATTTATAAACAGGATGAATACCAGAGTCTGAGATCTTTATCAGCACTGGAATATTGCGTCAAAAACTATGATGAAATTTGTGAACAAACATATCTTATTTGTTGTTTTGGTTATTTGCATGATTTGTATGGAATCCAGTGGGAAAATATTTTACGGAACATTTTCCAAAAGGCTATTTCTTAATGACTTCTTACCAGGAAATGCCAGCTATTTCATGGATGGGTTCGACATGATAAATTTAATTCAATGTTCAGTGTGCTGTGTAGTACATGAAGATAAATGTGCAGGCGTCTTTTACAACGAACTTCAAAAATCATGTAAACTTTTGATAAATGAACACATTGAATTGGTGGAACTAGGCATGCTTTCTGGATGGGGATACTGGTCTGGTAAATATTACACTCAGATTATCTGATCGAAGGCCAATATCTTAATTGCATTTTGCAAATTATAAAAAAAAAAATGGTTTAATATTGAGTAATTGGATTCCAAATACACTATGGTATGAAACAGGAATAATAGTACCTTGGAATTGAATTGATTTTTTAATGGACACAGAACATGCAAAATTCAGGGGTAACTATGCAAAAAGGAAATTCTATGTTTATATCAACAGTTAAATATTGATATATTACAAAATGACAATCATACCAGTTATACTAAAAGAATCTCAAATTAAAGGAATTATCATAATTATTATTTTTCTTCTAGGAATTAGCAATTAGTAGTTGGCTTATAGTCTTAAGTACCGTACACACTAATCTGGATAATTAGCAAGGGCTGACATTATTATTCTGATAATAATAATGATATCTTTCACTAAAGGGCTTTCAATATGTGACCCCGGATGGTTCCAGTTTGAAGACCACTGTTACTTTAAGAGCAAAGAAAAATTAACCTGGAGCAATGCCAGGGTAAGTTTTTTTTTTTATATGTTTAAAAATTTCAATAACTCGGCCATGGTAGATACTATAAGCGTTTAAAAACTTACATGTTCATAACTGTCATGACGCATTTTTTACTGGCGACCGTGGTTTATTTTTCTTATTTCCTGTCAACGTTATAATTGTCATGATGACAAAAAAAAAAAAAAAAAACACTTCATCGCTTTAATGTAGCACATAAAATATTGCAAATTCTTAGCTTCAGTGTGAAAGAGGAGGGGGATATTTGGTAGAGATAGAATCAATGAAAGAAAATGATTGGATCATCAACAAACTAACACCAGGTAAGGATAATAAGTAAATGAAAAATATCTTGTGATAGTTCTTTTTTCAATTTCTTTATATTTCATTTATGCTAAAAATATCACAGATTTCATGACTATAACTGTTCTTTTTTTATGAAACTTGACACATTATCAGAGGCATTGACAGATTAACAAACACTATCGACCTTTACATATAAATGTACTTGTATATTTTATGATTTATATTGGTTCTGACTGTCGACTGAAATATATTGGGTTGTTCATTCTCACTGAAGGCAGAGCACTGTACACAACAGAACCTTTGCATCGAATCCTCAGACCTTTAGTTCAATCTGACTGAAAACGACCATATAAAAAAAATAAAGGCATAGGACTTCTCAGATAGGGTACCCAAGTTTGCTGATAATATTGAAATAAACTAAATGACTGATTTCTGATTTCAAATATAGTAAATTCCTGGAAAAAATTGCTGTCCTACTCTCTGTACAATTAGTAAGAATAATCAGGGGCCCAAGCTAGTGTCGAGTAAACAAAGAAAGATCAAAGCTGGAATTGATTTTAATATATCTTCGAAAATGTTCAGAATCTCAAATTCAACTTTGTTAGTAATGAAAACTATTAATATGAAAAATGATATAAAAGGAAAGTATAATTTGCTTTATCGGTTTATGATTGGGAAATAGGTTTCCTATCTGACAAATTCCAGATTTATGTCTTATGCCCTAGGTATTCAGTCGCATAAATTGATATAAATGTTTATTATCTTTTTATACATATAAAGGAACTTTTATAAAGATTAAAAATTAAATCTCTCTCTCTCTCTCTCTCTCTCTCTCTCTCTCTCTCTCTCTTTGGGTGTAATAAATCATTCCTGAAAACTGATCTAATATACATTTACATATCTACTTACATTTATAATCTTATTTCATAGCTCAATGTACAATCCATTGGATATTATGTGTAATTTGGATTGGAGCGACAGATCAAGAAGTCGATGGCCAATTTATCTGGGATGGTAGTAGAGAAAAACTGAATTTCATAAACTGGAGGAGTGGTGAACCAAATAATTACCAACAACAGGAGGACTGTGCTGTTGTCAACTATCCCAGTGGGGAGTGGTGTGATTTCCCTTGTTCTGATAAACATTATTATATTTGCGAGAAAAAGTTATAGATTTCCTTTCAGTCCAACAGAATAATATACTATTAAAAAGAATTCAGGCAAAAAATATCGGTAATCGGATTTGAACCAGAAGAGATAGAGCAGATAATTTAAAGAATATGAAAATCACATAAAATTTGTGGAGGCGTGCTCATCCATTTTTATCTCTCCTGAGCCAAAGGCTCGGGTAGCCTTCCTGATAAAACTTTTTCATTGTTTGTCATTGTAAGCATTGTCCTTGTTGTTGGCGTCGTCGCCGTTTGCAATCTGTCTTTGAAAAAAACTAATCTTAGAAAGCATTTCTTTTTCTGATTATTTCAAATTATTTGTTAGCACTAACAAAAATGTCTAGATCAAAACGAAGAAAATCTTTCAAGAGATTATTTTTTCCCTTTTTTATAATTGTAAATATTACTAATGATTCTTTTAATGACGTTAAAGCTACCATTGAAAAAAAACCCATACTTTTCCATTTTATTAATTCACCTGAGCCATAGTCAGCTTTTCTGATCAAAGAGTGTCTGGCGTCCGTCTCTTGTCTGTAGTCTGTCGTCTAGGTTCTAGCAAAGATATTTTAATTGATCAAACTCTATTTTCATGATATCTTATTTATCTCCATCTGAGAAAGTATACAACATTTCAGTTGTTGAGATAGATTCCCCTGACACAGGGTACAATAGCAATGTAAGTATGTTTTCCATAGTAAATACAACTGTCACAGCTTTGCTTTAGTAACGTACCACAGTCGAGAGACTGTTAATTTCTGTCATGATATATGGATTTTTTTTTCAAGATATGAAGTTTTGATTGTGATTGTATGAGCACTTTGTGAAACATCAGAGGTGAGATCAATGGATCATGCCAAGCTTGTACACATAAACGCACGAAGCATAAAGATAATTGAAAAGTGCTACGAACCTGATGAAAGCTTTTAAATACATTAGCTATATCTATATTTTATGTAGGTGAAAGCAAAAAATGAACTAAAAATGAACTAACAAGGAGTGGCGCATACACTACCCCTCCCGCCCCAACGTGCTTGATTTTAATGTATTTCGCGGATTATCAAAATAAATAAGAGATGACGGTTTAGAAATGTTCACTCAATAATATTATGTAAATCGAAAGAATAATTAATTGTTTATCCAAAACCACAAGTTTCTAAAGCCATATTTCATGGACGATATTGAATAAACCCCTTATTAAGAAGATTTATATTGTTTAGAGGAAATGTTGAATTGACACAGGTGTAAGAATTCTTCATAATAATTTACTGATAAGCTCTACCTTGAAATTAAACACTTCAACACTTTAAGAATGACTTAATTATAAAATTGTGAAGTTTTTGAAATATTTCTTTTCTGTTTCTAATGCAGTCATGTATTTCTGAACAAATGTCGTTGCAATGACAACTATTAGATTATTTGAGATGGGACCGATTTTGTCCCTTGGAGCCCTTACCTCTTTTCTTGACACAGCCACAACAACTGTAATGATCTTTTCTGCCTGTCAAGAAATCTCTGATGTGTAACCTTTTTGAGTTTGCAAAGCATTTCTGCAGTAGGGAAGGACTTAGGCAATGTATTTTATAGTTCTTTTTTTCAGTATCTCATTCTTATGTTATATCGCGGGTACGTTAAGGCAGTACACAGATCATATTTCGGCGAATTTAGACTTTTTTCGTAAAATGTAACATAAATAAATCGGAAAAGCCGTATATAAAACATTTACTATTTTTATCCATTGCATAGACGTCATTGAGTCTGAGGCTAAAAGAAGCACTCCACTACGACGTCATCACGTGACGTCTATAAATAGAAAAATTACCTTAATGAACAAGTGAAAAGTTCAACACTACCCCGGTAATAATTCATTTCTTTTTGTGAAAATAATTATGTAAAACATCACTGGACCATGAAAAGTGCTGCTAGAATCCTACTCTCCAAACACAGCAAAAATAATTCCGATGTTTCGCATGAAACCTTACCAAAATTTTTGCATTTTATACATACGATCAAGGAATTGTCATCGATTTATGTTAACCACACGATTCTAGCAGCACTTTCCAAGTACTATAATATACAAGCTTTCGATACAAACAAAAATTATGTTTCACAGTATGCGGCGTAGTGTTGAACTTTTGCATCTTTGTTGTTATACAGCTACAGAGGAAAGGCTGATCAGGATTTCAAAGCACTGCCTCTGTTCATTATAAGAAAACATGACAAGAATATATCAGCGTACCTGATTCTTAATCTTTAATTCCTTATGAATCACACATAACATTCAATGTATATGCTTTAACACTCCCATTTCACATATTTGTTTACATGAATTCTCGTCACGTTTCATTTTCACTCGGCAAATATTTGATCAATAGTTATGACGTCATGGGTTTGGTATTTCGCCCCCGTAATAAATACTTAGCTACTTATACCACCCAAAAACGACAAGATTTAGTTTATATTATGTTTTTGAATGATTTCATTCATTTCTTGGTTCTGAAATTAAACTTTAAATATAGATTTTAAGAAATCATTATTTCTAAAGAACACGTCATACAGCTTACTATGACGTCATATTGTAAAGGCAAGTAGGATATCGCTGGGTGTAGCCTTAACATACCCGCGATCTCAGCTTAAAACTCAATCAAATATGTAAAGAAGAAATGAAAATAGAAATCATATTGTGATATTTTATTTCAAAGCTTAAAACTTCAACCTGAATCTTAAAATACTTTTTAAAGGTCTTTTGGTATTTAATTCCTATTTTAGACATATAATCTGCTTTCGATTTTTATATCTTTGATTTTTTAGTCAGCATATTGTTGTAAAAATTACATTTTGTATTTTTAGAATTAAATACAATTACCTAAAATATTGAAATTCCAATGAATGATCTTATTTTTAATAAAGAAATACTAATTCTCAGTTCATTTTTTTTAACTTATAAATATAAAGAGGAGTAGTACTATAGATTAGGAAAACGTATATCTTACCCATAGTATGTTTCAATATGTAATTAGCTGTGAAAGCTGTAGAAGAAAAAGTTATTAGTTTTTTTTAATCTGTTATAATGTAAACCATTGATATATTTCGATACATATGCTGAGTGGAGCAGTTTGCCTAGTAAACGTGACAATGAATTTACTTATAAAGAATATTATTGGAATATTGCAAATAGAAAAAAAACCCCACATAAATATTGCTAGTTACATTGAGGAAAAAAGAGCCCCTAGGGGCATAAAGATTACCTGAGTACATATAACTATCGCCATTCCTTCCTACATATTCTTAAACAAAACCTTGATTACATAATATGCCCCCATCCTAACCCAAAGGTCAGGATTTTGAAGAAACTTTATTCACACTACCCGAGGAGGCTTTCATATAAATATTACAGATTATGCGTTTGCTATTCCTGAAAATGGGTTTTTTTCTATGTAAACTTTGATCCTCATGTTCTATCCGACGCTACAAGAAGGAGTCACCGCTTTGTTGTTCAAGAGAAAAAGGTTTTTAAATATATTCCCTATTCCTATGCACAATCCTTATATGGTCTCGACCATCTTCTCAGAGTCATGATGTGAAAACACTTGAATCTAGAATCCCTGAAAATTCTTCTATACTAATATGACTGATCATATCTTGGTGCTGTTCATAAAAAAGCATTTTTGAGATATTTCCGTAATATTCCTCTGTAAAATCTTCATCCCCCGTTGTAGCGCCACCGTACGCCAAGGGGTCATGATTTGAATAATCTTGAATTTACATTACCGGGGATGTGTCTTGATAATAACGAATAATATAGCTTTGCTTTTTGAGAAAAAAATATTTTAAAAGAAATATCATATATATCCCTTTCAAAACACTTTGATCCTTTGTAGTGATGGTTGTTCATTGGGAGACCATTTTAACCCTTTTCATTTAGTACCATGCACAGTTGTATACAAGTTCTTTTTTAAATATAGAACAACTGACAGTGTAATATTTCACTTTAATTTTATTCCGATATTTACAATGTCAAAAATATATATAAAAAGGTATCCTTTGTATTACGATGAAAACAATAACTAGATGGCATTAATATTTCTTTGGAATCAGAATTTAGCTAAAATCAAATTGGAATATTTTCCAGTTAATCACAGGGAAGGCAATGGGCATTGATGCTCAATTTTAATTATGACTCCATGTTTATTTGTATATATTATATGTAAATATTTTTTTTTACAGTTTTACTGTACAACGCCATTGAATACGTTTATGTAAAAATAGGCGTTTAATCAAATAAATCAGTGTCAGTTTCAATGATTTAAAAGATTAATAGATCATACTGATATATATATATATATATATATATATATATATATATATATATATATATATATATATATATATATATATATATAAAGATAAACTGGAAATCTGTTTGAGGAGCAGCCGCAAGTTTCAGCTAATAATTTTACAAAAAAATTCTGCTGATTTAACATTCGTTATCTAAAATTAAAATTTTGAATAGCTTTTTGCCTCAGGATCATATTTTTGATATCAAAATTATCAAAATATGCAAATTGCATTAACTTAGTAACTTTCCATCAATCAAGATCATTATATACATCAATTCAGATAAGGCTTTACTTTAAAGTTTATTTATATCATGTTAAAAAATTCCGATGTTCATCATCATTTCATAATGTTGATATTTAGCTTAAAATTTACCATTATCTATTTTGTACAAATATTAGAACAATTTTTGGCATTCTTATTTTCCATTTTAACATATTAGGAGGAAATAACCGATTACATTAGATAGTTTATAAAGTGTCTACTGCAATATGTTGGAATACTATATGATGTTTGTATAAACAATTAAAAAAAGAAATAAACGTAAGCGGTGTCCTTATCACATATTGACATATATTCCTTCTGTTGAAATAGACTGGGACACCAACTGATAACATCGTCTGTACTCTTCCTGCAAAAAATATATTAAAATAAGAACTGCTGCAAGCATTCTTTAGATATATACTTGATAAACAATATATGCAATCTAATTCTTGAGATACTTAAAAAATAAAGTTTAAAATATCTGATTTTTCTTTACATACCAGCTTTGTGATAACTTCCGGTCTTCTAACCTTTAACTGCCGGGCTATGGTAAATATGTCAAGCTCTCCATCCGTACTGATCTGTTGAAGGGCGTTATGTAAAACACAGAAAATACCAGCTGGCCCTGCTCCGTCCCTAAAGTGTGCAATGAACCTTGTATCTATTCCGTAGCAACTGTGCTTTACCGTTCCATTTTAATAAATAAATAAATACTTAAATATTTTTTTTTTTTAAGAGTACCTTATCACAACAGCATAGCCTGTTCTATATCTGCTATTAAGTATCAAATTTATTGATATATGCATTTAATCCCAATGGTGATACTTGCTTGCTTATGACAACAGAAGTAAAGGACGATTGTTTCGCCTTTCCTAGTACGAGTTCTGCGGCTTTGAGCACAGCATCATTATCATCAGCATGTATTTGGAAAACCTCTATTTCTTTCTTCGCCTTCTATTTATATTTAAAAAAGCCCTTACTATATATGCTGATACACCGTAAATGGAGGTAATAATTTCCTAGCTAATTTCCACTTTATAAACAATTTTAAGAAAAGTGCAGATTGAAGGTGCAATAAATTATATGTAGAAATTTCAAATCATTCTCTTTATATATGTGCAATTCCAGACAAATTTGCTAATAGATAATCTTACATCGCTTGAAATTGCTAGATGGTCCTGTGATACACCACCGATATTGCTACTGGCGGCGCCAACTCTAAGGGTGTAAGGAACACAAGCCTTAGACAATCCTCTCTTCGGAAGCCAATCACATGCCTGAAAGTAGCATATACGAGGGGTGATCAAAAAGTTCGCGAACTATCTCTATATTTACAAAACCACTATTCAGATCAGAATGAAATTTGGCACACAAATAGTCATAAACATGTTCTATAAATAGCCGGTGTTACTTTTTTTCCACCATGTTTGTGACGTCAAAATGTGAAAATGACGTCAATATGTAGGTGACCTGTACCAAAAAATGGCTGACTCAGTCGTACTCGAGCAACGAAAGGCTGTAAAGTCGTTTAATTTGGAAATTCCTTTGCAGTAGCATATAATAATTTGTACAAGGTTTATTAAGACTAGAGACTTGCCAGAAGTTCAATCATTAATTGGATTGATTGTTTTAGTGAAGGATGGGAGATGGTTAAAAATGATGTTTGTTCTGGTGCCCAGTGAAAGTAAGCTGGGGAGGAGATGTGTCATTAGTTGAGCAATTTGTTATGAAAGATCGCCAAGTTACAGTTAGAAATATCGTTGAATATTTTAAGAATATTATTACGATTAAATCACGAAAGTACCGTTTACTTTAGACTTTAAACATATCAGATATGATAAAAAGAATGTATCCGTATCTTATCCACGATGGAAAAAGACAAAAAAGTCGGTCACCATTCTCATTCTGGGTAAAGATATCCTTATCAACCCATCCTTTTGCCGAGATTTGGATATTTATGACAAATGAACAATTCTTGTTTTAAAAAATAAGTTGCATGGTAAGAAATATAAGACTCGGAAAAATCTTTTAGCTTCTGTGAACAGAATGCTAAGGAGCATGTCACGTGACAGCCTGGATCACGTGATTCGTGCATGGACAGAACGGTGGCAGACGTGCATTAAAATCGAAGATGAATACTTTAAAAAATAATAAACACTGAAATCTAATTTTATTTCTTTTATGGAAGTTATTCAATTAGTTCGCGAACTTTTTGATCACCCCTCGAACAGTGGCTGCAACGTTATTGTTGACAACTTACACGAACGATCACGTTACACGAACGATTCCGCACGATAAACACACGATTAAACTTGTTACACATAGGATTCTTCACGCACAAGATTATATACGTTACACGATCTTTCACGATTGCTAACGCAAAATAGTAAAAAAAAATATTTAGGAGTGGATATTTTCAAAACGATATAACGCATGATAAGTTATTTTAGATTACAAAGAATTATTGATGCAATTTATTGACTTTGGAAAACTGAAAAAAAATATTTAGAAATGGATAATTTTGAAAAGAAATAAGATTTAATAGTTATTTTAGATTACAAATAATTATAAAATTCGTCGACATAGAAAAACTGAATTGTTTTTATCTTTTCGATATGTAAGATGTAATTTATGATCGATTGCTGAATGTTTTATCAAAAGATATACGTGGACCTTGAGTTTCAATTCTATTACGATTTTATGACAGCAGTAAAGGGGGGGGGTATATTAAAAAAATGGTATAAAAATGAATTCAAGCTATCAAACTATATCCATCTTGCCATTTGTGAATAAAAAGAATCAGCAATTATTTTACGATTCATTCACTTGCAGAAATTATAACAATAAAGTAAGTATCAGGGATAAACACTGAAAAAATTAACTCCGAAAATCATGTCGTGTACATTCGCCGACTAAATATTTATGTAAGCATTGGGATTTGTATATTTTTGATAAAGATATACATTTTTTTATGAATTGATATAAAGAATTTCTTGACAACAATTAGCAGTAAAAATAATTAACATCAGAGAAAAAAAAATCGTTAAACGACTTTATTCGTTTAATCATTAAAATTTTTGCTATTTTAGAGAATAGAATATTGAACGACTTATTATATTGCTTAGTTACTTCCGATAATTAGTTCGTTCGATTAATCGTTAATAGACGTCCTCATCCACTGTGGCAGTCAAGTGTTCATTCACCTGGTGCTTCAAAGAAGGTCATTGTTAAGGTCCAAATCGCAACAAACACCTACCGTTTACAAGACAATATTAGTAAATTCAACCAGCATGAAGTAAATAAAGAGTGCCTGTTGTGTAGGAAGAGCACAGAGGATAGATTACACTTTTTATTAAAATGTCCTATTTTAGATACTGCTAGGCAGCCATATGTGACCAAACTAGGATGCTACCGGCTGGAGGAAATTGGTATACAAAAATCAAACTCATACATAACAGATGATAAAAGACTGCTACAAATCATTATTGACCCCTCCTACTTCACGTTTTCAGAGATTGCTCCCAGGAACAATAAAATACAGGGATTTATAGAGAACCTGACCCGCAACATGGTATTTGCTCTACAATGTCATAGAGCAAAAATTATTAAAAACTGTCCACAGTCTACAACCAGTAGATCTTAAAAAATCTTTTTTTAGTCCTGTTCTTTCTTCTTTAGGTAGGAGTATGTAAATACATATATTGTTAAAATAAATTTTTATATGGAAAGCTAAGTTATTGTACAGTGTGTAAAGCCTTTTTTAAACCAAATTTCAGTTCCCCCAGCACTTAAATTTTATTTTTATTGCACAACATCAGAATAGGTTTTACTAACTGTTTTTTATCACTCTACTCTCTTAAATTTTGATTTTATGTCTTTTTATGATATCACCTTCTCGGGTGCTCCTTATACACAGGAGGGAATTCCTATACTGAACTGAACTGAACTGAACGTGCTTCATTTCGAAGAAAAACAGACAGGCAAAATGCTTGTTTAAGAAATTACAAGATAAAATCTAACAAATCGAAATTTGCACGTGTCTTACCGCACGATCACGCACGAATAAAACCGCAAACGATTGAACCTGATACACGCACGATCTCTCACGTTACACGACCGATCACGCACGTTTCAGGAACGATTCTACACGATTGGTTTGTCAACAATAACGTTGCAGCCATTGTACCATAATATCACCTTGTGTTCCAAAGCAAACATGAAAACAGCATATATTGAAGGTTTAAATCTATTAAGAAAAAATGAACTGTTTAAGTGTATGATAAAATTAAGATTAAACTTAAGAAATTAAGATAACATCAATGTTATACCTCATCTTTGGCATTAAGCACCACCAATGCGTGAACTTCATGGTCAAAACACAATCTCCACAAATCAACCTCAGTGTTTGAAAGAGGTTTTTGGGTTATTATGAATCCAGACGGATTTATATAAGACTGAAATGTGAAGCAACAAAATTAAGCCAGATTATCTTTTAAATTTTGATATGCGCACTTTTCTTCATACCAATACTGTATGGTGTTCATTTAATACTTACTGGTACCATCACCGCATTGATATAATCATTCCTTCCTTTCACATATGTTGTAAGGTACGGCCGATACTTTGAAACTAAAGGTAAAAATATGTTTCCTTTCATGTGTATGAAAACCAAAAGGAAAAAATTAATTGCTTTACTTTTCTATTAAAAAAAAGTCATACGAAAAAGTATCAAGACATGATAGAGATTGTTTTCGGTTGTCCTACCAGGTAGTATGTCTTCATTATAGTTCTTATTGATATTTTCAGCCTTCCTGGCGTCTTTGTCATTTACACAGTTGTAGCTTGATTTCAATGTTTGCAAAAGCTAGAAAAAGGGAAAAATCATAAAACAAGTTCACACTCAAATTTTGATACTTATTACTTTTTACAATGATAATATTTTACCTTAAACTCTCTGTAAACTGTGCTTTGATTAAAGGGTGTGTTGTCATTCAGCAATGCTTCCGTTTTTGTCGGAAATTCGTCTTTTGACAGAAGAGAGTTACCCTGGAATCCACAGGTTAGTGCTTCATGCAGGAAAACATACTGTTCCTGAAAGGATAAGATGAACTTTTAAAGGGACATTTCAGAAACACTCTTGTTTTTTCCACATGAGCATCCTCTACATCACGCGGTGCAGAAACAGTCACATCAATTGGGCCTGAGTTTTTGTTCTGTTTACGATTTGTTCTCTTTACTGAATATTTGAGTTATTTTCATTTCTTTTCTTTCCTTAATAATTTTATGTTTAGAAAATTCATATTGGAGCAAAATTTACGGCAAAAGAAGAATAAAATGTTTTTTTTTTTTTTTTGTTTTTTTTTTTTTTTTTTTTTTTGTTTTTTGTTTTTTTTGTTTGTTTGTTTGTTTTTTTTTTTGTTCTCATGTTGAGTGTTTGCAACTAATATTATAAACAAATCAATACTTTCATTCCCTTTGTGATACAGAGTGCATATGAAAATTTGAATGATTTTATAAATAAATGTGTAAACAATGGCGGTTAGTTTGTTTGGACAAAGTAAAGGAATTCTCTACTGTTATGATTGATAGATACCTTTACGTCCAGTATTTAATATAGACAATAGCTTACCGGTGTTTGAACCATTGTCATTCTATTCTCTCTCATTTGTTTGACAAACTCGAAAACGTTGATCAGTCCAGTGTCTCTTCCCTGTCTCAGGAGTGAATCAAGTCCAATAAATGTTCCTGTACGACCCACGCCAGCGCTGAAATTAAGGAAATGTACAGGTATGTTAGGGCAATATAAAAGTAAGGATTGACACATGCTGTCTTAATGATAAACAAATTCGTATTGTATGCATAAAGACTGATTATAAATCAGATGAATTATATTTTCGTAAAATACACATAGTTTTTGTTCAATTGAAGCTTTGGATTTTAAAAATTCATCTTCTTTTTACAAAGCAAGAAACATAATTTTGACTTTTGATTTGCTATTTATACTCTAAATTTTAAATAAAAATACAAATGCTTGAAACCGAGCCGATCCTTTTCGTAGCTTCATTCCTAAACTGGACATAATTTACTTATATTTTGTTTTAAATTTTAGAGATAAAGAATTTGTTTTAAGGTACTTTTTGCGGAAGGCAAAATTGCAAAAGTAAATTATTGATGACACTCAAAAAGTTTACCTTAATAAATCCAAAATCAAAAACAAGAAAGTTAGTTTTTTTTAAAAACATCTAGATGAAGTTTGATTCATTGACGAATATTGATCCTTGCATCTTTCTTTCTCCTGTCTTTCTTGAATTATCGACACCGTTTACATATACTTTTCACCATCAAAATATTATTTCATTTAGACAACTTACATTAACTAACATACAGTACAGATTGCAAAGGGTTGCATTGAGACAAATTCTCTATGATGTCGATAAATGTTTCTTTCAAACTAATTTCTCAACTTGAAATGCACTAAAGCTTTTCAGTGAATCTGATATTCAATTTTTTTTTCTATGAACTTCTGTCTGAGACTCCTGACATATTGAAATGAAGCTTATTTAATGACTACGCAAAAGGAGACAATGAGCTCTTATAATAACATATACTTAAAAAACATTCTCATACTCAAACTAAACAAAAAATACTATGTATTTTTTTTTACTTAAATCAAGTAAAGTATTCACTTATTTTGCTTGATAATAACTAACTAGGATTGAATATTACTAAGAATCACTATGTAATTAATGATTTTACTTAAAATTACTTAATGCAAATACTAAAACTACTAAAAGTGTTTTAGAATATTCAAGAAATACATTTAAGTAATTCTAAGTAAATTTTAAGTAAAAGAATTTGTAACTTTTACTCAAAATTACTTAAAACAGAAATTAGATTAAAAATCAGCACATCTAATAATCCTGCACAAACATGTATAAATTTTCATCCAGTTTTTATTCATAGCATCTATAGGACATACTAAATATGTACATAATATAATACATATGATCCTATGACATGTTCAGAGTTAAAAAAAAGGTAAATGAAAACTAGCACAGCCTTTTTAAAAACAATGTATGCATAAATTTATGCATAAACTCCCAGATTCTGCTGGCCCATCACTTTCATCAAAAGCAATCTGACATTCTTTTGGTATGAATTTCTGTCCACTGGGAAAAATCCAGGAAATAATATACATTTCATTAGTGCGAACAATATCTGTTCCAAAAAGGCATTAATTTTTTGTTTTGTTTCTAAACTTAAATTATAAGCATTGTTTAATAATTAACTTATTTAAGAAATAAATAACAAGTTTAAAAACTTCTCTGGGAAATGAAGTGGGTCGGTCACGTGATCAAATCCTGTAAAGGCCGAAGGCCTTCTCAGAAGATCTGATCACGTACCGACCCACTTCATTTCCCAGTGAAGTTTTTAAACTTGTTATTTATTACTTATATATACATTTGAGACGGACAATCGGATATAATCAAATATAAATATTGCACTAACTGTTCGCCGTAGATTTTGACAAATGACGCAAGGTGTAAAACGGCTTGAAAAGCGGTTACGCTTCAAATTCCTCTGGCAAATGATTGTGTATTGAAGGGAATATTCTGTGAAAGGCTACTTGTGATCAATTATAGTGAGCATATTGGTGTCTGGGAATTTTTGTAATCATAAGAACCCATATTCGATGTTTTAAAAAACACAAGAAACACGTCCGATGTTTGATAATAAAAAGTTGGAGGAATTTCGGTCGGAAAGGGATGGACGGACCAGTTAACTTGAAATCAAGTATAAAATTTGATCAGAAACATAAAATCTACGATTTCATTAAGGCATATTTATTATGATGTTGACACAGAGACACTGGCGACAGCTTACATTGTTAAGACAACGATCTCGGTGATGGAGGTTTGCCTACCGAACTTCTGAAGTGCAGTGTTTGTCAGCTGTTTGTGGCGTGATTGCATTACATTGATATTTTCCAACAGATTTTCAAATTTATTGTGAGTAAAGTTTAATGAAAAAAAAAACTATAGCATTCAGAGGTCTACAAGAAAAATAAGGGTAAACGTTGAGACTATGCAGCTCAAACATGGAACTTGAAACACGTAGTTTCCTATTCTGTATGTAAAATCGGTCGAAAACTGTATTAAAATAATGGTTTACATTGTAAATAAAATGATTATTATTTTACTTGCGTATTGTGTACATTTTTATACATGAAAAACATGCTATATTGCTAAATAGAGCAAATCTTTTTTTATGTAGATATTACTGCGCTGTGTGATTAGGTCACGTAATGACCTATGACCTTCGAAAAACTTCATACAGGTATGAAGATATTTGCTCTCTGTATGTTTATATAATAGAGAGATACCACAAATGTATATATTGTCAATTAAAAAAAGGTTACCATAGTGCAAGTGAATGTAATATTGAATTTTTTACACAATTCAGAAGATTTAGTATATTTCAATGCACAGTTGCTTGCATAACAGCACACTAATTATGTTATTGCATGATAATAATCAATTTATGACTCACCAATGTTGTTAGCGTCAATAACATGCATATATATTGTTATCATATCAGTTCAGTGTTGAAGCGGATATTTTATGTAGGTGAATGTCCATAAATTATCAATAATAAATTAGCTTTATTTTCTTCTCAAGAGAGAGGAGTGATAAAAAATTCTTGGGGAGGAGATGCATACTGTGATATTCAGTATTTAAAAAAAGAAGAAACAAAACTGCCACTTATTGCCCACATTGTCAAGGTGAAAAATATTATTTCATCCATCATACTTTAAAGTGTTTTGCATATTTATTTTGAGCATATTTTTGTTGCAGAGATATAAGGTGTTCAAGGAAATAGTGGCCAAACACAGAACCTCAAATATACCCTGGACAGTGCTCCAAAAATTTGGAGGAGAAGAAGTCATTAGCTTAATGATTCGGTGCAATGAAGTTTGCAGGATATGAAAACCACACGCTGCAGTCCTTGCTTCGATGGGCATGTATTACGTGGCACAGCTTTCATACCCCTTACAGTGCAATTTAGCATTGCTTTACGTCGAAGGTGAAGTTTTGAAAGACAAAGGGCATGAAGATCTTCCTTTCATGAGAAAGGCTACAGAAGCGTTCGAGAAATCTCTGACCGATGAGCCTGTTATATTTGAATGACAGTAAATGGCAGTGATTATGATCCAGAGTTTGACAGAGGTGTAGGGGTTATAGACTATTTATTTGTTATGCTGTAAACAACTTAGAAAAAGTGTTGACGTTTTGCCAATCACGCTTATTATCAAAGGGTTAATAGCCATTCTCTGTAAGCATTTAAACTCTTAAATAGGGAGTGTGGCACGCTATGTCTTAGATTTTTATGAAACTTGGCACACATTCCTATATTGATGTATGAAACTAAAATTCATAATAAAATGGTTGCTATGATCAATGGTTACCATGGTAACCAACATATATTTTTCATGGCCTAAAAAATGCTAAATTTTGATGAAAAATGACCATTTTTGACAAATTAAAAGTCTTTAATACAACAAGATATTTACATGACTTCATCTTTTTTGCCAAAATACATCATTTTTGTAGTCCTTTAGATAATTTCTAGTATTTGAGTAACTTTACCTAATAAAAAAGATATCGCCCGTATTTAGACAGGATTTCTCGGGGGAGAAATTGTATATTTTAGGCTCTTCTGAAAAGCCTGGTATGAAATTTTGCGGACATTTGGGAAAAAATAAATACATTGGTTTGAAAGTCCATATATAGTTCTAATATAAACTGCAGAGAAACACTTGGTATTCATATTTCGTTTTAATGTTACTATGGTTACAAACTTGAGCTTTTTTTTTAAAGAATTCCAGACAAGGGCAATAGGTATCTACAATCAGTTTCCATATAAATACCTGAGTATTTTAAAATGGATTAAAACCAAATTTAGATATGTGGTACACAATAGCAAAAACAAAGAGAAAAATCAATTTTCATGACAAAAGGTCAAGGTCAAGGTCAAAATAGCTCGATTAAGATGGAAACTAAAGGAAACTAAGCACATTTTTTTCTGTGTCCTAACTAATACTTTTGTTTTAAACAGCATGAATAAACAAAATTACAGTTCTGGTGGACAATAACTACATGTGGCATCACATGAATTGGTAAATACGGAGAGAAGGTCAAAGTTCAAGGTCACAATGGTATGTAAAAATTGCCTTTTTGTCTCCCGCTTTCACTGAAAGTGGGGGATATTGATTTGGGACTGTCTGACCGTCCATCAGTCTGTCTTTCTGTAACACTTTTGTTTCAGCCTTTGATCCTTTGCAATGAAATTTTGCATAAAAAATGTGTGGCCTAGGGAAGACTCCCATTGATTTTAAGGTCAAAGGTGAAGATTATGAATACATAAATTCAGTTTAAACACTTTATTTCTGTGCGATATCTCGAAAAGCCTTCAAGCTTTTGCATCGAAATTTTAAAGCACAACTTCCTATGAACTAAAAAAGACCCCTATTGATTTCGAGGTCAAAAGGTCAAAGGTAAATATAAAAAATTTATACATTCTGTTTGTGTGTAAAACTTTCATTTCCGAGTGATATCTCAAAAAGATTTTAACATCAATTCTCTGTAAGGACCAAAATTTTACTGTAGGGCTGTGGCACACACCATGAACGATTTTCATGAAACTTTTTCAGGTGATTAATGCCCATACACTATGACATAATCAACATTCAAAATTAAGGCTACTA